TTGGTCTATTATTAAAGTTGTTTATATGAACAGTGCTAGTTCAAGTGTCTCTTAAAAAAAGGTCCAAAACCTCCACATGTAGAATAAAAAGTAAACTAAAAATTTGCTTATGTATTATTTATTTATATAATAGTAGTGCATTTTATTTCTAAAAGTAAATTACTGGTAATTTCTGTGTAGTTTTCAAACTTTGCAAAGCCATCCGGTGAGAAGATAGATGGCTCGCTGTGCAACGTTTGAATTTCTTACTCTTTATACCAAATCTGTTGTAAAACCATAAAATTGCAACATATTGCATCCAGTAAAGGCTTTCCTACTGCACTAGTAATAAATTCTGTGCAATTCAAAGAATGTCATAATATGCAGTGCATATACTATATAGAGACAGATTTGTGCTGAAGATACAGTCTAGTGGACTTTTGGATGGTGGCAGGGAGTTCAACCTGAACATGAAAACCTTGAATAAACTAGCAAGTTGCACTCCAATGCTTCGTTCACAGTTGTTAAGGAACTAATAACTAACCTCAGCTGGCTTAGATTTTTCCAACATTACTACAATATGGAGCATTTAAAGGATTTTGCATATCAAATCAACCCCAAACCACATAAACAGAAAGTCTCTTTTTAATAATCAGACAATTACACCTCTATTTACAATAATGTTCAGCAGGTTTTCAAAGTTCAGGTCACGAGCTGAGAAGCAAACAGTTCAACCAGAGTAACAACATTAAAAGCCCTTCATTCAGATTTTTTTCTGCTACCACTAGTGATTTGTTGTTCGAGGGGAAGCTGGAAGCTGCATCACACCCACTCCCACAGATGAGCAGCACTGCGAGGCTGTCAAGGAAAATATCAGGACTTCAAAAGATCTGCATGTTAATTAACATATCTGTTTTTTGCACATGGAACTCGTCGACGTAATCATACAAAAATGTCACTTTTGGCAGATGAATGTGATGTTTTCCTGACAGCAGGAAAAGGAGGAGGTCATTCCTGTTTCCTGAACTCGTTGGCATCATCAAAAAACAGAGTGAGCCAATCTGTGTTATGCAACAGTATTTAGAAGACAAGGAGCACAGTCAGTAAATTTCTCTCAGCAGCATCATGAGACAGATGCACTGATCCAGACTGCACCAGAATCATGCAGGTAAAGACGATGAAGCATCCTTTGCAATAAATAAACCGGAGCGTCCAACATGTCAACATTTTACATTTCAAAGCAGATTCTGTAGACAGAACGCCACGAAATAGCATGACAGAAAAATGTGCTAAAAATCTAAACAGAACATTTCAGGGAAGTCTCTAGAAAGTCCTGCAGCTGACCCCTGAACCCTGACATTGATCTGACCTCTGGCGCCTCAGCCCCTGTGGTGAAAAGGCATGTTTGTGTTTCTATTGGGAAAACTAAACACTGGTTAAAGTCACAATGAAATAAAAAGAGTAGTAACGATAATGATTTTAACAGTGTCACGTTTCTCTCGTTGAAACATTTTATAGTTCTCATTTATTTCCATGCACACTGTGAGAACATAATTAACAGTAAAACGACCAAATGGACATAAAAATATTTAAGACATCAAAGACAATAAAACCGCATGTATACTCAGAGTATATGTGAACTAAAGTATTATTAAGAGCATGTTTCTTCAGAAAAATGTTATTTGTCAATTACACACAGCACATTTACTCAAAAGCAGCAGGCAAACTGAAGTTTAGACTATAAATATACGATGGATACAACCATAGTGACTCAGTTTTTTTGGGTCTGCATGTTAAGACTAACTCTTGAGCCTGGAGTGATTCTATTTGGGAGTCAGACACCTGCTAATTAGTGTTAATTAACAGACAAATAAAATGCTAGAATCTCACCAAAACTGAAGCACAAACTTCTTGGACAGTCTGCAAACTATATCATTTGTCAGATTATTCCTTTACAAACGTTCTTAAAGGCACCAACTCTGCATACACAGCTTAGGGTCCAGTTTAATGAATCAAGCAGCTGTACAAATTAACGTTACAGGAGCCAATTCCAATCAGAATTTGTACGATCATAAAGTTATTAAAGTTTGCAAATTGATTCTGAAATTGAGGCGCTGCAGTTTTGTCTTACTGGCAGTTCTGGGTCAAATTTCCTGGTCAGCTCGAGGCCTACCTGTGTAGTCTGCATGCTCTCTCACAGTCCAAAGGTGGGCTTTGTGTGTTAACTAGTGATTTTAAACTTGCAGACATGCCTCTCTGTGTTAGACTGCTCCCTGCACCTCACTCTATGGAGGCTGAGAAGCACTTAAGAAAACTGATCACCAAGTAATTGCATGCATATGCAGCAACTGTATTATTACTGGAAGGTGGCCGAGGTTTTTAACAGACAAGAGATACAACCTATAATATAAAGCTACTGTCAAGCAAGTATCTTATTAGGCCTACTGTTATCTTTGATTACACATGACAACCGTCCTAAAGTTTTAAAAAAAAGAATCGAGACAAATGGAAAATGCAGTTACTTAAAACCACCTGTGACCAGTAAGTAATCACAGCAGGCTAAACAATCCAGTGAACATTGATAATCGTGACTCGTGCTCTAACTATTAAGGTCTTTGTCTTCGAGCGGAAAGTGAGAAATAAACTCCTTGCTCCTCTGTGCACAGAGGTGGAGAGCAGCTATGTAGCATCTCTGGAAGTGGATCAAGGGAAATTTCATGCCCGGAGCCATGTTTAACAACCTTTTTTGCAACCATATTACAAAATTAGCAACTGGCAAACATTAGCATTAACAGCTTGGATCATTCCAGTATCTCAGACAGTTTTCCAATTCAGCATCATCATTTCTCCTTTACTTTAAGAACCGTCTCCAGCAGTGAAAGCTACTTTTACGTTTTCCTGTTTTTGCTGCTATTTTGATTTCTTTTCTTTGCATGAGCCCAGTTTCTATCTGACAGCTGTTGATGTTCATGACAAGAACCTTTCAGAAGCTTTCAAATGCTTTAGCTTCTATTTGTGGTCCGATTCCCTCAAGAAAGGATCTTGTGGTACAAATTACACAAAACAAATGTGTCCAGGAAACCATTTTCCATTCTGTCGATGGAGTTATTCTCGTTACTGTTTCAAATTTACAATGAGCCATTACAGGAATGTGACTTCATGTTTTAGCTTTGTGGGGTTACTGCTCGAGTATAACTGCAAATATTTCAAAGTAAAAGACTTGTTAAGAAATAGACTTTTATTGTAACTATTTCAAATTAAAGCATCCCCAGGTGTTATATGTATGTTATGATTTATTCTCTATTATATTTAAAGTTTGTTTATAGAGATTTAGGTTCATATACTGTTGGTGGGGTGGATACTGGGTTTGACAACCATTCAAATGTGTGCATTATAAAAAGAAAAAAAGCTCAATATGATTTCACACTTCTGCCCAATAAGAGAGTTATTACTTCCTATTAGCTTAAGGCAACGTTGTACTTCAGCTGAAACAGTTGTTACCTGAAAACCATCACTTATGCTGGAGAAAAAGAGAAATAAAAGCTTGCCTTTCTTTGCGCTTGCTTTAAATAAAAGGCCTGTTTCGTTCAGCATCCGAGGTTATTAACGACACCGGACACTATTCAAATAAACACAGTAAAAGCACTTGCTAATACAAACTGTGGCTAGCTTGTTTGAACGCTCGTGTAGTTTCTCATTCACAAAGAATGCAGTACATGGCACAGCCTCATTTTGGCTCATTTAAAGCTGTTTATTAATGTGAGCTCTTCTAAATGAGACAATAAATTAATTTAAAAAAAAACACTACGAACTATAGCCGAGTACAGCCAGTGCAGTTTGGATTTTCATTCAGTTTTGCAAGCAATTTTCATGAAAACATACATTTCTTTTAAATGCATATGATAAAAAAAAAAAACTTTGATTCTACCTTTGAGAACAAACCAGCTAAATCCCAGAAAGACAGTAAGTAAACGTGTGTGGCTTCTGGTCTAATACTCTTATGCATGAAATACTTGTAATGTTTTTTTGTTTGTTTTTTTGCCATCTAGGGGTGGCATGTGAAGCAAAATGACTTTACAACAACACTTCCACATTCAGCTGTTCTCCAAAGATCACCCACCCACTCAGCTGCTCTGAAATGACTGACAAGTAAAGGTACAGGTTCCCAGGATTCTGTGCAAATGTTCATCAAGACCATCGATGAGTTTTTGTTTATTCTTTAAAATTTTTTGAAGACTGCAGTCACCTTCCACTTTGCATATCCATCCTACTTGTGCAAGTCACTGTGACACCCAACTTTTATCAGGCTGCCATCTAATAGTCAGTTTTTTCCTTCTACTTCTGTTGTTTAATGGTCACTGGCAAATAGCAAACACGTGGTAAATGGGTAAATTACCGGCACCTTCCTATCATTATTAAACCTATCCCACTCCCTCTGCTTTGTCCAACTACAATAAAGTCAAATTGCCAAGATGCTTTCAGAAATTTCATTATGACTTTAAAAAAACAAGTCCTGTTTTAAGTTTTTAAACGCAGCATACAAAGAAATGCTTTTCCTTCTACTCAACACTAAATTATTTTTTTAAAAATGGCTCCAATCCGGAGGTGCAGCATGTCAGACCTCTGTGGCAAATAAATAATCTTAAAAAGCTTCTACTGATCCACAAGATCATCTGGTATCCCGCAGGTCTACAATAAATCAATAAAACCCCCGAAGTTAGCCATTGTTTAAATATTGATACTCTACGTGTACTTACATGAAACCAAAGAACAAGAAACAGAAAAAATAGAAACGCACTCGTTGGCTCTCAGAAACAGGCTTTGACCCCTGACACGGCGAGGTCGGGCTCGTAAAGCTGGGTGATATCCCTCTTGCTGGATGAGGGCAGAAACACGAGCTGAAACCAGATGTTAGGATCCTGACAGACAGCTGATTCATTATCGACACCGACTGCACTACAAGTCGTGAGCTGATTACCTTACAATGTGCCTTTTGATTTAAAAGACCTGTACTCTGTCAGCTGAGATCAAAGGCAGACAGCACAGAGGCTTACAAACAGAACCGCTGATAGACCTGAGGATGAAACACAAGAATAAATCATATCATCTATTGTTTGTTTAACAAGGATTCTTGTCTGCTGGCAGAAAAACTTTCCAGGCCATGTTTAAAAAGTAAAGCTAACTTTTTCATGTGACATCCAATGCTTTTTCAGATTTTGAGCTTCTCGCTAACACCCGAGAGAAACATCCTCTTGATAAAACACACACAAGCTCCTAAATCTTCTCAATCTCTGGGAAATAAGTCCATCTGTTGTGCATTTTGAACCCACACACGAGCCGATGATGTGACGATTTTAAGGTGAATGATTTTTCCTACACTCGTTGGCATCTGGAGTTCCCCAAAGGAAACAGATCAGAAGTCTGCTTCAAGTGTTTTAACATTTTTTTTGCAACACATACTTCCACCCTGAAAGAACCAAGACAATTTACAGATTTACAGTCAGGCTTGAAAAGATTAATAAATTATTTTTTGCATCTCAGTGGATTGGGCAGCCCAGCTCACACTGTGCTATACTTTTTTGCATTTGGGAGTCATTAAATCAGTGCAGTGAGGCATGTTTATCAAATCCTCTGAACTTTCTTCATCAGTATCAAACTTATTATCTCCGTGTCATCCGCCTGCAGCCATGAAAGAGCAGCATCACACAGAGAGAATTTGAGAAAGGAATGACACGGCCTCCTTTTTCCACAAAAATCATCCTCTTAAAACGGCCAGAAAGCTTCTGCACAAGCGCCTCCCTGTGCTCACCGCAGGACCAAAAAGACCTGTGTCATGCTACGCAGTAGAGAGCAAAGCACACACAGGGGGGCCGATGCCTCCAAATCGACCGGAGCGAATCCATCCTAGTCAAAGCTCATCAGAGCTCACACTTGGCATCGGGGATCTGGTCTCAGGCTGACGGGGGCTGGAGCCTTTTTGGCCTCCGTGCAGCCAAGGCAGGAAGGAAACAGTGGGCTAAAGAGGCGGCCGAGACCTTTACGGAAGACGCTGTTGGAGAGGCTGTAGATGAGACAGTTGCAGAAGCTGTTGCTGATTGCCAGCCACGTTGTGAGGAAGGACGCCACCTCGTGGTGATATAGGCCGGCGCTCTCTAGGAGGAAGTAGAGGATGTACGGCATCCACAGCACATAGAAGACACTGGTGATGCGGAAGAGCACCATGGCATAGCGTTTGTCCGGGCAGCCTTCGCAACGCTCTCCCCGCTCGCCTTTATCACCCTCGGTCTGCGGGCTGAAGCGGGCTTGGCGTTGGGAGATCTCCCTCGTATGCTGCCGGCAGATCCGGAATATACTCCCATAGGTGAAGCAGACAGTAAGTGCAGCTGGTGCGTAGAGCAGCGCCACAATGAAGGTGCTAAATGCCGGGTTGGTTTTCCAAGAGAGTGCGCACCACTTAAATATGTCCCCATGATAACCTGGTTTCCCCCAGCGGAAAAACGACGGCAGGAAAATCAAAGCAGAGTAAACCCAAATGAGCACGATGCACACCCTCAGGCGGCATGGGGTGACTAGCGTGGTGTACGACAGCGGTCGCGTGACGGCGATGTAGCGGTCCACGCTGATGCAAGCTAGCGAGGCCATGGAAACACTCTTCAGCACAGAAACCATGTAGCCGAATCCCTTGCAGGTGAGCTCCTCATTCAGGCCTCGAAGGTAGTGGAGGAGCGACATCGAGGGCACGAGGCAGCTGACGCCCACCAGCAGATCGGCGTACGCCATGGTTTGGATAAAGTGGCTGGTGGTGTGGTGGTGCAGCAGCGGGGCACAATGGAAGACAAAGATCACCACCAGGTTGCCAGCGATGATGAGCACAGTGAGGAAGAGGATGACAACCACCTCCAGCACGCAGGTATCCATGCTGTGGGAGTAACCCATGGAGCCCAGCAGGCAGAACGAGGGCGAGCCGCTTTGGTTCGCATCAGAGGAAGAGTTCATGTTTGGACTGGAGAAGAGGGAGGGAGGAGAAGGGGGCAGTTTCAGCTCAACGCAGCCATCATCCTGTCATCCAAGTCTCTTTATTTTTTTTTAACCCTGAAGTTGCAGCTCCAAAAACAAAGCATGCCCCTGTTCTTCTATATCAGCATCTTTTCTCCCTCAGCGGGCAGCGAGCCTGTCCTTAAAGTAGCAGTAATCCATCGGTGCATGCAAAACGCAGCCGGCCACTGCTGCTGCTGCTGCTGCTGCTGGGGGTGAAATATGTGCATGTGTGCCACCTCGAGAGGCAGAAAAAAAATTCCCCAATGTAGGACAAGAGATGCCCGTCTAGTGGTGCAGTGCAACCCGTCCTCCCCCTCGCAGCTGTTTATCATACCCCCCTCCCTTGACTACAAATCCCGAGGTAAGCACCGTTCTCCAGCGGGCAGGAACCAAACAATTAAAACATTGAAAAAATAAATAAAAAGAGCCATACTACTGGCACTCTTCAAATGCTGGCAAAAGGGTAAAAACAGGGAGAGGAAAACGATCCCAAAATTCCCAGCAGCTTCTGTGTGCCGGCACTGAATGCTTCCTCAGCAAAGAAAGTCAAGGCGGTCCAATCAGACGGCACATCTGAAGGTAGAAGCCTCGTCCGCGGGTCATTAAAACACAGATTTTCACGAGCAGACAGTGTCCTGGAATCCTGGAGGCAGGCAGGCAAACATCCAAAGGTGATGGATAATGTCACTGGGAGCGCTTCTTGTCAGGCTCGTGGCGGCTGGTCGACTTCCAGTGTGTGTGTGAAGATGGAGAGATGTGTAGTCATGAGTGTGAGAGACAGAGAGAGATGAAGGAGGTAGACGGTGAACTGCTTCTCCTTTCTGCTGTAGTGGCGATACAGTGATGATGCAGCGCTGCCACTGCTGCTTTCCTCTCCTCCCCCTTCACTCACTCGCTCGCTCTCTCTCTCTCACTCTAACACACACACTTTCCTTCCCTTTCCACTCATTTCACTCTCTCTCTCTCACACACACACTTCGCTTCCCCTCCTCCTCCTCTGTCCATTTTAATTTTTTACTTCTTTCTGCCTCCCAGTGTCCCCACTCTTACTGTGCCACAATTACAGAACTGAGAAGAAAAAGTTTTAAATAAGCTTCAGAGCAACTGAAATTTATTATATATACAAGAAAATATCTAAAATCCATAAGAAACTCACAAATGTTAAGCAGAAATCATGATTATGGCCTGGTGCAAATTCCATCGGTGTGAGGATCATTTGTTTTGTAAGGCATCTATCGGATTTTATTGATGCTTGAAATTAAGGATGTGAGACTTTGATTGCATGGCTGCTTGATAGACTTCACATCCGCTAATGTGAGTCACCGAGGGAGATCTTTTAACAGTGTTTGTGGTAGACGTGTCATAAGAGGAAACACAGGAAACGGACGATTAACTTCCAGAGGGTAGCGGGTTTGTTAAAAGCTTATTTTGCTCTTAATTTGAAGTTTTGAAATAAACTCCAAATTAAGAGAAGAAAAACCCATCATAAGATGCCTGCCAAGTGGTGACCTGCTTCTACAAAGAGTTTGGCTTGTAGTGTTGCTTCTTTTTAATTTTATTGAAGGAAGTAATAGGCACATATTAAGGCTTTCAGTAAAGACCACCCAAAGGTTTCTGCTTATAAATAAAAAGCAGCTGAGCAGCAGGTGAAGCTGCCAACATTTAAAATAATAACTCCAGACACAACAACTGGGTAACATCCATCTTTGTTCACTGCTGCACTGTTTAAACAATTAATACTACAATATACACTCTCTGACCACTTCATTAATCGCACCTATTGCTGTCAGAACCGTTTAAATTCTTTGTGACATATAATGAAGTTCTTTTGAAGCATAAATTATTCATTACAGTCTCCATTTTCTCTAATCATCTTCTCTGCTCTCTTTCTTCCTTTGAGTCCCTTTCAGTATTACTCTAACC